GCTCAATGCAGGTTGTGTTGGCCAATGAGTATGTGTATTCTCCGCTTGGTCCTTTGCAAATTTCTGATCATCGTGGAGTGCGAGTGACTATTTCGAATATTCCTAGGAGTACTGGAGAAGGCAGTGGAAGTGGACGGACTGCTATGCTGAGCACATGGGTTACGTTAGCTATTCTTGCCGCTGTCCTCTATCAACTCTGCTAGGTGGACAGTGCCAAGTCAGCTGACAGAGGTGCTGGCCTACTGTGAAGCTTATATTATTGTAATCCTCACTTGGGCGAGTGCACGCAAACCCATACATGGACCAGAGTTGTGTTTTCTGCTGGCACTATAGTGATGTGTGTGCCTGTGTCGTCATTTTATAACTTAGTGACGCACTTCTACTTGTATTACTTTGAAGTTTGATGTTTGTTGTGTTTTTAGACGTGCCGCTTGATTTCCGCGGCACTAGAATCCGTGTTGCACTTTTAGTGGCGCATTTCTATTCGTATCGCAGTTCCCCCTTTAGTAGCAGCTCTGCCTCCTTCCGTTGAGTGCCCCCCCCCCCTCTCCCTCTCTCTCTCTCTCTCTCTCTCTCTCTCTCTTTCCCCCCCCCCTCTCTCTCTCTCTCTCTCTCTCTCTCCCTCTCTCTCCCCCCCCCCTCTCTCTCTCTCTCTCTCTCTCTCTCTTTCCCCCCCCTCTCTCTCTCTCTCTCTCTCTCTCTCCCTCTCTCTCCCCCCCCCCCCTCTCTCTCTCTCTCTCTCTCTCTCTCTCTCTCTCTCTCTCTCTCTCTCTCTCTCTCTCTCTCTCTCTCTCTCTCTCTCTCTCTTTCTTCTTTTTTTTACGGCTCGACCCTCTGCTAGCTGTGATAGATTTGGACAACCTTTGAAACTTGACTGACGACTTCCTATCCGTTACTTGACCTTTTCTAGTTGCATCTGATTTTTTATCTTGGAGTTCCCACCGGCTACGTCAACAATATCGCCCATGTACTGTTATCTAGTTTCTATTATAGTTGTGTGTACAAGCTTAGTTTTACTCTTAGATATTATGTGCAGCACAGATTGATACGGCCCTGTCCGACTTATCTAGAAAAGCGATCCTGTTAGCTTTTCTATTATTGTGATTCTGATTGCTGCTGCATGAAAATTAATAACATCATGAAATGTGTCTTAAAAAAAACCTTTTTCAACCCTCACCGTATTTATAATCTCTGGCTTTTTCTCGGCACAGCAATGCGAAATATGATCGTCACTACAGCTTGCTGTTTGCAAGGGGTTTCGTTGCTGCTGTGGGATTGCACATGTTTGTGTGTGTGTGTGTGTGTGTGTGTGTGTGTGTGTGTGTGTGTGTGTGTGTGTGTGATGTGTGTGTGTGTGTGTGGTGTGTGTGTGTGTGTGTGTGTGTGTGTGTGTGTGTGTGTGTGTGGTGTGTGCAGGCGCGTAGCTCGCATGGGGAGGGTGTTCAAGTAGGTTCAGCATGCACACAATGTCCATGAATGACATGCACCAGGCCATGCTACACATATGCGGCCGTGATAATTATGAGCATCAAGTGCACTACAATAGACTTGCAGATTTGCGTGAAAAGCTTTCAGGACTCCCTCTGCTGCCGGGTGAAAACCTTCGCATAGGACATGTCATATTCATAAATAATTGTAGTTCCTAGCGCAGCAACAATGATGGAGGCGTGAAAAAGGACAGTCAGCAACTAACTAATACTTGCTAATGCTATACATGTGCTAACCGACAGCAAGATCAGCATAGCAGGAGCAAAAGCAAAAGACAAACACCAGACAATAATTGCCATTTTACCTACGTCATTGGCAAGATTGAGGTCGGGACTCGGGGGTAGGGCCCGGTGTAATAATAATATGCCCGAAACGTTGCCGAATATGCTTTTGGGAAATTCTCGTAAACCTTGCCGAAAATGCTCGGAAATGCTCACTTTTTTGTAATCCTCAGCACACGCCGTCAAAACCAGGGAGTCAGAAAATACTCAATGAATAAGCTGAGACTTGATCGAGTCTGCCATGGTAAACTACTCAACAAGAAGCTAACGTTATAACCCACGGAATGCGGAAGTGACGTTCTTGTTTGGGAAGTTTTTCTTCTCTCTTGTCGTCTTGATACACAACGGCCAAGTGCTCCGTTTCGGTACGCTTTCCAACGGCCAAAGAGAGTTGGAAAGCTTGTGTCTTTCTGTTTGTGGGTAACCTGAACATTTGCCTTGGGCTCATGCAAAATCGCACCGATTTTGGGATTTCCCCACAACTTTTTGCGTCCGCAAAAATGTTGTGCTGGACCGCATTCCTGTCACTTCGCAGTGGCTTTTCGTTGGTGCAGTTTGTATCCCACCCTCCCACCCCTGACTTCTGGGTGTGTGTTTATCGATATATCGTATTGGTTTTTCTTATTGGCCATGTGGCTGTTGCAGTTACGACTGCTTTTCTTTTTTAGTTTAAAAAAAAAACGTAGGGGTGGTGTGTGCGTCGTGGGCCATTGTATGGTTACATACAGCTTCAGATTGTATGGCTAGTGACAGGGGGGGTTGAGTCTGCAGGGGAAGAATACAGTGATTGAACTGAAGCTGGATGATGACCGTGTGGTGAGTGTGTGGGGGTTTCGAGATGCCGTCCTGGGGTAGGGATGTCGGTCCTTTGGCTTGGACGGGTGTTGTTACATTCATTGTAACATTTTGTCGTTTTCTGTGTGTTTTGCTGTGCGACTACAGTAGCAGCAGTGTCTTGTGCTAATTTTTCTTATGATATCAGGCCCTATGCGTACAATTATTCAAAAAAGAAAGAAAAAGAAAAAAATATATATATAATTATATCAGTGCAATTAGGAGTATAATCGATGCAGACATGGCCAGACAACAACGAGTTCATGGAATTTTTAAGGATTTTTATGTTATTCAAAATCGAAAATTCCATGAACTCGTTGTTGTCTGGCCATGTCTGCATCGATTATACTCCTAATTGCACTAATAAAATTGCTTTCTCCACGCCGACTCTTTAAATAATTATATCAGGAAGGAGATATAATAATATCAATAATAAAGCCATTGCCGAGCCACCGTGCTCACAGCAGGGACTTCTGTGTGTGTTATTGTTGTGAAGTGGACCACAAAGACCCCCAAAATGCTGCATCACGAGCCCAAAGGGCCATAGTACCCAAAGTGCTGCTGGGTTCGCGGATTGTACCGAAAATGCTCAAAAAAATGCCGGCATATTACACGGGGGCCTGTAGGGGGACATCCACACGTACAAGATCTACACAATCATATCCTCACCCTGGTCCCTGGCGTGATCTGGCGATCATGGTGATCTACCCATGTGACCTATATCTCACACTCACAAGTCTCAGCTTCAAAAAAAAGAAAGAAAAGGAAACAAGCTACCGTATCAATGAAAAATCTCCTACTTGTAGATCTACTCATGGATTATTATTATTATTATTATTATTATTATTATTATTATGAAATGACCCAAAGGCAATGTGCCTAGCTATCGAGGGCCTTCATTTGATTGAAAGGATGGTACTTGCGAGCTAGCTAGCTGAGCTCTGAGTCTGCTGGACGAAAATTTCTTGGATATTTCGTGCAAGTACCGGTATTAGTTGCTAGTGGTGTGCTCTGCGACCAAAGAAAAACAAACTGCCTGGGCGGGATAGGTTCAGCTAGCAGCAAGTTGCCGAGCTTTGGGCGTTTACCTCAGCAATAGTGCTGCCACCCACTCACCCTCCTGGCGTTCGGTCATGGCTTTGTGGTCGTTTGCATACCGGACGGCACTCCTGATAGCCCTTTACGGGTGTGTGGCTGCTTCAGCCGCGAGTGACTCACAGCTCATATTCGGTTTCGCGACCGACGGATCGTTCTCGGTGAGCAAGGAAGAGAGACGCGACGACTAGGCCGCTGATACAGCCTTGAAGAGAAATAAGGACAGAGAGCCGAGAGAGAGAGAGAGAGTCAGAGAGAGAGAGAGAGAGTGTGTGTGTATGTGTGTGTGTGTGTGTGTGTGTGTGTGTGTGTGTGTGTGTGTGTGTGTGTGTGTGTGTGTGTGTGTGTGTGTGTGTGTGTCCATTATCCCATTCAGTGCCGCACTTTAGTCGCCCAGAATGAGTATGTGTGTATTTCGTAACTCCACTTCTACACACGGGAGAGTTACATACGACACATGAGCCCCTCCCCCCCCCCCCCCCCAAACACACACACACTGGCATACTGGGCCTCTGCACAAATTTACTGTTTTATTTGAGCATGTTCAGGACTAGAAAAGAATAATGAATGTCGGAGAGCACTTCAAGTATGGCCAGAAGGCCCCCTGTTTATGTATCCGTACTTGTCACTGACCTCCGCCTCTTGTGTTGGACATGCAGATCAGCATTGGTGAAGCCAAGGACGTGTGGATCGAGAGTGGCCGGTCTGCTGTGAGGATTAACGGCACGCTGATGGTCCTCGGCAAGGATCTTGTCAGTAATGTAACGTTCGCGTCCAGCGGTCAGGATGTTCTGGGTGCCTATCAAATGGATACTATCAAGTGGAAGACCAAGGACACGCAGCAGGAGTTGTTCCGTACCAACTTCAAGGTACAGTCAACTTTGCGTATAACGACACTCGGCGGGGCATCAGAAAAGTGTCCTTATTCGCGAAGTGCCCTTATACCAAAAGTCCCATTATATGTATTACAGTTAGGGGTCGTCCATAATTATCGAACTTCACGAAACGAAATAAGTTCGTTATGGGGTGGGAGGGGTTGACCAATTTCGTTTCAGAAAAGTTCGATACATGTACATGTCTTTAGGAGCAGTGACACACTTGCGACTTTTGTTGTATACACATGTATATCTCAACATTTTTTTACGTTCTGAGGGGAGGGAGGGAGGGAGGGGTTGGGTCTAAACTAAAATAATTCGTTTGGTGAAAAATGTTCGATATTTACGGACGGCCCCTTAGATGGGACTTTACTTTGGGCATGGAACTTCTGTCGCAACGCTATGCTGCCAATGCCTGAACACAGTAACACTGTGTACTCCATGTGTTCCAGTTGAACTATGACTGTGTTCTTTTCATGTTTTTTTCCTCTCTATCATTCTGAGTAATGCTCACGTTGGTACCCGCTCCAGAACTGCTATCGTTTCTTTCCCTCTCTCCTTTGCTCCGCACTTTCTCGTGTGCCTCCGTTCGCATTTTTTTCGGGGGAGGGGAGATGTACAGTCACCTACCTGTGCCTATATATTTGGCATAGTGCATCCATATGTAATTTGACCCCGCTTCCTATTTCACACCTTCGCGTACGCACATGCACCTCGTATGCACCAGCGGTAACTGTTGCGTGCCTGTGCTGTTTACATGCCTACTCTGTACCCCGTGTTCTCCACTTCTCCTTCTGTCTTCATCAAGTATAGTTTGTAATTCCTACCGGAGTGTGATGGTTGTGTTGGACTGAGAGAGTGTGCATGGGCATTTATCCTTAGTGCTGTTGCAGTAACGCAACACTAAACACAGTGCAGGCATAGGAAAACTCACTGCCTGTCTGTGCTACCAGTGTATTGTGCTCATCCTATCCTCTCCTTTTATAAATCTAAACACCGTCCTGACAGTGATAGTAGTAATGGTTTCATTCGCAAAGCCTCTTTGTTCATTAGATCGTATGGCACTGGCCATCAGGACTGTACTGTGATTGATGCATTGTGAACTTTGTTATTGTTACTTCGAAGTAATTCTCATTATCTGTGACTATTTCCCTGCCATACTGCTTTGCAGACGTACAGAGATCTGCCGGCGGTGGTATTTGAACAGCATTTCCCCGTCAGCGTGGACAATCCTGGTGGTAGCAGTGCCGAGCTTGCTAGCTTCTTTCCAACGTTCTCAGCTACGGACAAGGCCATCACAGATCTGAATTACATCACATACACAGGTAAATGTTAGAGCAATCAGGGCCACTGTGGATACCAGGCCATTTTGCCCAGTCTTGCTAATCCCCTATGTCTACAGATATACACAACGTGGCCGGTGTTTTGTGAACGTGCTTCACCCACGGAGAGGAGCATGCGACACAAGTTGCCCACGAGTAAAAGCAGAGCAAAGTCGTTGTGAACTTGTGTACACACCGTGAATATACTGACCTGTTTGCTGAGGTTACTGTCTGTACACGTTGTAGTATTCCTCTCTTGTGGAAGACTGTGTGCGTGCAACTGCGGGTGTGTACTGTTAGGCAAGTTGCATGGGTGCTTGTGCACATGGTGAATCATCGCGGCGGAGGCATGTCAACACGGACACTATTAAAAACGTCTTTCTTGCTCCTTTCTTGCAACACTGCCACGGCTGATTTGCTCAGACTGGATCAGTGTGACGTGGATGGGTGGCTTGCATACCGGTTATTATTCAGAAGACATGTTGTTGTGGTGTGGAGTACAGTTTAATACAATGGATGATAAAAACATTATATTCAGCATTCCATCCTGTGGTGGTGGGATGGGAGGTTGAGGTTCTATGATACTTGCTTCTAGTCTCTCAAGCTGCACATCCCTAGTTTGATGGCAGTGCACTTTCTTTCTCTGTGTTTTGCTTCAAGATACGTTCCCGTCCATGCACAACGGGCACTTCAACAATCACAGCCAATTCCCGGGAGGAACAAATGGCGGGTAAGGAAGAGTTGGGTGGGAAGTGGAATTGCGCCGTGCATGTAGTGGCACAGATCGCCGCACTCTGCTAATTGGGGCAACTGGTCTTATATCTCATCGTTGTGAAGAGAAGTCACCTGCCTGGGAAAACGAATCCACCGTGCCGTTATGAATAGTAGCCCCTAAACAGCTGAAGAAATACATCGCATAATTCTGATCATGACGGACCTGAACACGAATGCACCCATCTATCTGTCTCCTATCATCTAATGTGCAATCATTGATTTACATGTACACTGCTTGTTCTTTCACTGTATCTTTTGTACCGTGAGCATCTCTCTGTTTCCGAACTCATTTTGCACATTTCTCTTTTTCCCAACTCCAATGTTCATTGTATATACACAAATAGGAGATGCCCCCGATAGGCGTCAGCCTTTGGGTAATCCTGAAATAAAGATTATTATATTAAATTATTAATGGCGATGCAGCCATTTCGAAGTGACGACGCTATGAGCTTGTGTAACAGTCTGGGCTCATATAGAGGACGTTGCAGTTAGAGCAGTGAGTTTCTCCTGTGCGACTATGGCTACAGATTTGACCATTGGCTTCCCTCCTCCTCCTCCTCCTCTTCTTCCTCCTCCTCTTCCTCTTCCTCCTCCTCCTCCTCCTCCTCTCCCTCCTCTTCTTCCTCCTCCTTCTCCTCCTCCTCTTCCTCCTCCTTCTCCCCAAGTATACACAATGTTCTCAATGTTGGACTGAAAACACAATGTCATACTTATCTTCATGGTAGGAGATTACAATAGGTCATGCCCCAAAGTCAAGAATACTGCTATATTCTGTCCAGTATCTGTCCAGTATGGACACAGTTCTCGTTGTATCGAATGCAAATTATTGTATTCTATTCCGATCTTCTGCAGTGTGCCCCTAACCATCTATGACAAGTCACTACGCACCCTGGTCATATCTCCACTGGACAACTTCATGGTGGGGATACAGGACATTGCCAAGTGAGTTGGCTTATCACGAGTGAGGGGTTCTCAGTGCCTGGTGATAGTATAGTATTTGTTCATATTTCTCTAGGGCAGGATACGTAGGTTCATTACAATGCATGCATAGTTACCAGGGGCGTCGGAAGGTAATTTAGTGTGGTACGGTCAGCCATCTGAAATACAATTTACTCGTGGGGAGGGGTGGCTGAGCTGAAAAATTTGGAAAATTTAGAGCCCAAATCAGTGCATTTTATTGATTCACAGGGTACTTGGGGCAAATAGTGGTACGGTCAATACCGTAGTGACCGTACCGTGTGCGACGCCCCTGGTTACAGTGCTGAGCCATATGAAAGACAGAAGAAACGAAACTTAAACTGGGAAAAGATCTGTTCAGAACAGTTTTTTGCCTTACTTTATTGTGCAGCGTGGGTGAGCAGATCAGATCCACCATAAAGTGGTTAAACACTGAAACTTTGCCCAGAATCGATCAGTCCATGCCAGACAGATATTAGTAACATATTAATAGTTTTTAATGTCGACCCTGATGCCTTGCATGCAGGGAAGTTGGCGGCGGCATTACATGCGGAATCAACGGCCAAGTTTTGAACATCCCAGAGGGCTTCAATCACTCCACAATCATGTGGGCTGGTCAGGTATGTTTTAAAACAATTACTTTGAATTGCTCAGGAGTCGTGACCTTGGATGACCTCTCTTTGGAACGCTTGTCACGGCACACTGTACATTAGTAGGGAGTCTGTATTGGTGAGTGGGTTAGAATCATGGCTAGCACAGTGAACAGGCATGGTGGCGAGCACCAGATGATCAGTTTGTAGGCGTCTGATGCCAGACTAAAGGAATTTACTACTATAGCATATACATGTAGGTACTAAATCACACCGCTAATCAGTATACACATGAATACACAGAGGCAATAGGCTTAGAGGTTCTGCGAAATACCTGATTCAGGCAGAGCGGCGTACACAAAGGCACACAATCGTTGTCTGATGATCGGTTCAGCCACGAAACTCTGAGTCACAACGGAATTTGCCAAGGTTTTCATTGTGTGCCTTTGTATACACATAAATAGTACGCCGTATGTATTCATGGTCAGCTGTGCACATACCGGTACTCGCACTGCCTCTGTCTTCTTCTTCTTCTCCATGTGAATGGGCAACTAACTAACAATCCATAACTTGAGAGTGTGAATGTTGCAATGGTGGCAGCGGTGGGATTCGAACCCACGCCTCCGCAGCTACTATACACTGATGCCGAGCGGTCTACTCGGTGTGGCATGTTGTACAAGCAGAGCATCAGCATACTGTGGCTGTCGTTTGCAACGCCATCTCATTAACTGTCCGTTCATGTCTGTACTTCATCCGCTCTTCCTCTCCCTCTATTATGCTTCACCGACTTGGGTTGGCGTGATTCGCAAAAGAAAGTCGAGCGAGTGCCAAGCAAGTCTGCTTTGTTCTCTTGTGTTGCAATACAGGGCTTGAAGGACACGATGTATGATTGGGGTGGCGCACTACTCAAGTACCATGGAAAGGTATCAGTGAACAAGATGCTGTGTTTTGGAATGATACAAGTCTAGCGTATGGCACATGTAACGGAATCACAGCCATTCCGTTCCCCGAGACGCAGGATACAAATGACAAGACTAGTTTAATTAAAGAAAGTGTCTACTCCGAACGCCGGAGCTCGCGCTTCCTGCCGAATGACTTGACACTTGACTGACTCACGACTGCGTCTGGAGCGCACGAGAAACCCGTCGAACATTCCACTCGGCAAACCGGCAAGAAAGCACCACTCCCTGCTCGATACACAGCGTTTCAGGGAATTCACCCCTCATCAGTTGAGCTTGAGTAGGCTAATGAAATTTCTGCTACGAGAGCACTGCATCATGTAGTGCTCTCCGAGCCAAAACATCACTGGGGATACCAACTTACAGTGACGCTCCGCTTCCAGCGCAACACACATCTCTAATCTTTATTCTCACGATCGCTTACAGTACTGGTTGACGACGACGACAAACAAACTGATCCTCTGCGTCCCGGGTTTCGGTGCCACGTGGGTGGGAGAACCAATCATCCAAACTAACTCCTTCCCCTCTAGGCCACAGCACAGTCAGGCTCCCAGGCCATCAGGACAGGCGTCAGCACGATATCATCTCCAAATGTGGTGGCCTGACCCTTGGGTGCGACAGTGACCACAGTCTGTGGTGTGACTCTTGGCCCCAGTAACAACGTGTGTGCAAGTGCCGATCAATCTCTGCGGCATGTGAGTGTTAAGACTGACAGAGATGATAATCATCGTGCTGATACCTGTCCTGATGGCCTGGGAGCGTGACTGTGCTGTGGCCTTGAGTGGAAAGAGTATGTTTGTATGATTGATTCTCCCAACACCCACCGGGTTTTGGCACCAAGTTGTACGTTGCACATTCTATTTGGCGGAAGAGGGACCGCATACTGGATGATTTGCACTTGAGTGCTTGGTGATGTGGCTGAGATTTAGGAAGGCCTTCAAATTCCGGCGTGGCATCCATCGACAGCTTGGTAGGTTCCTCACACGCTACTTGGCTCAGCTGCACCGCTGTTGGCTGCGTGCTGCTGTTACCTGCATTGTGGCTGCTCATAATGTGGGTCCTCATTGCTCCACGCACAATGCTCAACCATATCTTGCCTTGTTTCAAGGTTCGAATTGAAGTACGGAAGCTCCATGTACTTTTCAGGTAAAGCATTCCAGGACCAGTCTGAATGCGTTGACATCACTGCAAAGAAGTGTTTGCACGACAATGTAGTGCGCCACCAGTCTAGGCATGTACACTGTGGCATCTTGAAGTCCACGGCGTGGGTTTCATTTTTTTGACAGCACATGGAAGCAACCACCACCCTTGGCTTCAACGTCACCGGGGCTGAATTGCTTGGCACGGGTCTGGCGGGCCACGCAGTGCAAGATAACGTCTTTGGAGCGGTCGTGCAGGAAAGCTGGCACAGAGTCCGTATACGTCCTGTATGAAGAGGTTTGCTTGACATTGAGGAATGAGAACTCTCTCAGCTGAGTCGGCAGGAATATCTCGATAATGGTAGTGAATAGAGTTGCCAGCGTTGTTCTGTTGCGTGGCAGGAAAGTATATTTTTAAAAGGACTTTATTTTGAGCTTCAACGCCATTGTTGGTATATACATTCACACCATAGCCTACACCTTTCCAAGCCCTGGCCCAGCACTCTGGCATTTCCAGCCACCTTGTTTGCAGCCAGGATTGAACAGCCTTGTGGTCCTGCCACACTTGTGACGCCTGCAACTTGAGGTCAAGCTGGCGATACCCACGGTCAATTGGGCCTTCATGTGCTGGTGGCTCGTAGGCCAAGTCTCTAAGCATGTCCGAGAGGCTGCTCGCTTCATCTTGCGACGAGCCTTGTTTGCTGTCTTTCACCCACCTGAGCCAGCACTGTTCTCTATGGAAGTCACGGAGCATCACTCGAACACCGGGAAACGCACGACGAATAGGTAACATTTCAGCCTACGAATAGTCGGTCGTGAAGAATTCAGGAGACCAATTTGGATCCTTTCCACGAATAATCTCTAGAGCCTCCGCAATGTCACCTTCGCACTCACTCTAAATGACAAACTCAGCAACTACCATATACTTGGTTGCCGTTGGCACAACCAGAAAGAACAAAGCCACAGTGTACTTTGTCGTTCTGTAGGTTGCATCAATTAACACAAGCTGGCCGTACTTAGAGAGCAGCCGCTTTTGCCATTGTTCCTGGTGGATAAACAGGAGGCGTGTGCTGAGTTGGTTTTCCAGAGTGCGTAGGGATTCATCGTAGTCCCCACCTCCACTCCCTAGGAAGACATTCGGGATCTGCTGCCGTTCTTTGTCTTCTTCTCGAAGTCCGTCGGATCCTTCTTTGGCTTCAACGTATGGCGAAATGTGACATCAGGGTGTCTCACATGTTCTCACCAACTTTCCACCTTGTACTCTTTCAAAAAACAGACTACTCTCAAAGAGACGAACAAGAAGACTGACGAAAGGACTCTCGACTACAACGTCGCGCATGCTCATATCACACATGCACGCGACTAGACGAAGACAGTCTGGAGAGTGTCATACTACATCATTAGGCCATGGTAAAAAATGAAGTTGATTCTCAGGTCATGAGCCGGTGAAAATCGGTGCGAGTGAGCGATTTTTTTATTTTATTTCCCAAATTTCCTGGGGGGGGGGGGGGGTACTTTGACCCGTTTGGAAAAAGAACACCGCGTCACCTGTGACCCGGAAGGGAATCAATATACATCAGGGAGCCCTAAAATATTTTTAATTCCCTGATCATAGGCTGATGTACATGCAGTAGCCGCACTTGAACAGAGCCGGCTCTGACCTGGCTCTGACCCGGCTCTGACCTGGCTCTGACCTGGCTCTGACCTGGCTCTGACCCGGCTCTGACCTGGCTCTGACCTGGCTCTGACCTGGCTCTGACCCGGCTCTGACCTGGCTCTGACCTGGCTCTGACCTGGCTCTGACCTGGCTCTGACCCGGCTCTGACCTGGCTCTGACCCGGCTCTGACCTGGCTCTGACCTGGCTCTGACCTGGCTCTAACCTGGCTCTGACCCGGCTCTGACCTGGCTCTGACCTGGCTCTGACCCGCCTATGACCTGGCTCTGACCCGGCTCTGACCTGGCTCTGACCCGGCTCTGACCCGCCTCTGACCCGGCTCTGACCTGGCTCTGACCCGGCTCTGACCTGGCTCTGACCCGGCTCTGACCTGGCTCTGACCCGGCTCTGACCTGGCTCTGACCCGGCTCTGACCCGGCTCTGACCCGGCTCTGACCTGGCTCTGACCCGGCTCTGACCTGGCTCTGACCTGGCTCTGACCTGGCTCTGACCCGCCTCTGACCTGGCTCTGACCCGGCTCTGACCTGGCTCTGACCTGGCTCTGACCTGGCTCTAACCTGGCTCTGACCCGGCTCTGACCTGGCTCTGACCCGCCTCTGACCTGGCTCTGACCCGGCTCTGACCTGGCTCTGACCCGGCTCTGACCCGCCTCTGACCCGGCTCTGACCTGGCTCTGACCCGGCTCTGACCTGGCTCTGACCCGGCTCTGACCTGGCTCTGACCTGGCTCTGACCTGGCTCTGACCCGGCTCTGACCCGGCTCTGACCCGGCTCTGACCTGGCTCTGACCTGGCTCTGACCTGGCTCTGACCTGGCTCTGACCCGGCTCTGACCTGGCTCTGACCCGGCTCTGACCCGGCTCTGACCTGGCTCTGACCTGGCTCTGACCTGGCTCTGACCTGGCTCTGACCCGGCTCTGATCTGGCTCTGACCCGGCTCTGACCCGGCTCTGACCTGGCTCTGACCTGGCTCTGACCTGGCTCTGACCCGGCTCTGACCTGGCTCTGACCTGGCTCTGACCTGGCTCTGACCCGGCTCTGACCTGGCTCTGACCTGGCTCTGACCTGGCTCTGACCCGGCTCTGACCTGGCTCTGACCCGGCTCTGACCCGGCTCTGACCTGGCTCTGACCTGGCTCTGACCTGGCTCTGACCCGGCTCTGACCCGGCTCTGACCCGGTTGCAATGGTTGTGCCAGGTACACGTGTACCCGGTTGGTTTGAAATCCTAGAGCAGACACTGGCCGCCGCCAACACCCCCGTCCTTCTAGACAGGCGGTCTTTCAATTCAGGTCTGGAGGTATGCCGACACATGGTCTGGGTCCTGGACGGTCTGGTCGCATAAGACAGGTGGCCCCATAGGACAGATGGTCTCATAACTCAGGTGGTCTCATAACTCAGGCGGTCTCATAACTCAGGTGGTCTCATACTGCATGTGATCTCTTATCACAGTGGTTTCTAAACACAGGTTTTCCTGTAACCACTTTGAAAGGCATGGACATCGACTGCCATGAAAACCAGCTGTGACGGTCCGTTCTGCAGTGTCTGATGATCTACTTCTGAAGTACATTGTACACTGCATCTGGATCTGCACTGGAAGCTAGTTCTCATGGTGTGACAGTTTAAGTTACCACCAGGGAGTACCGTAAAGTACCGTTGATCCGCCCCGAATGCTATGTCGCTTCCCAGCTGGTTTTGGGCAGGGGGCGGTAATTTAGTCAAGTTGGTCAAGTGCAGTGCAATGTACAACAAAGCAGAAGATCAGACCTGGCATGCTGGATTGTGCACATTTTCATCCTGTGCTGGCACGTATTGCGTACAGCAGTGCATGCGTCGGTTCAACACCGTATTTCACTGTCTATGCCGAAGTCGCTTCACAGGTTAAACAGGGAGTGGAAATTAGAGAGGGTCGGTTAAACGGTACTTTAAACAATTGGAGGCGTATCCAATTTCGAAAAAAGGTATCCGCACCGACGCAATTCAGACAGTCAAGTAAAGCCAACCGAAAGTTTTCGTTCCCTTCTCATCATGGGTAAGTAAAGGGAATAATGGAAAAATGTCAAAATACAGCAACTTACCCATGATGAGAAGGGAACGAAAACATTCGGTTACTAAATTGGCTTTACTGGACTGTGTGGATTGCGTCGGTGCTGACACTTTTTTTTTCGAAACCGGTATTTTTCTTCTCCCTTGTTGCATTCCTGCCTGTCTAGATTACTGAGTATTGGATGTTATCCGGGTTACTTAGTGTTGTTGATGTGTTGTCTGTATACCCTGTGCACAGAGCCGCACACCATTGGACAGTGATTTCAGTGTGAAGTACCTGGGCTGGTGGACAGACAATGGCGGCTATTACCACTACAACCCGGAGACGAACAAGACCTACCAGCAAACCATGCTGGATGCCAAGGTATTATTGCGTCACAGTGAAAATGACTGCTTGGAGTACACACGTCTGGGTGCATGCCTGGCTATAGACCATATCTGGGTGCATGCCTGGCCATAGACCTGAGCGCATGCCTGGCCATAGACCTGAGTGCATGCCTGGCTATAGACTATATCTGGGTGCATGCCTTGCTATAGACCTGAGTGCATGCCTGGCCATAGACCTGAGTGCATGCCTGGCTATAGACCTGAGTGCATGCCTGGCCATAGACCTGAGTGCATGCCTGGCCATAGACCTGAGTGCATGCCTGGCCATAGACCTGAGTGCATGCTTGGCTATAGACCTGAGCACAGGCTTAGTGTGGATAGTGACAGTTAGTACAAATTAGTGCTGAAACGATTATATCGATTACTCGTTACTTACTCGATAAGAAATATATCGAACGGTTATTTCGATTTTATCGGCTAAACGAGTAGAATGGTACTTACGCTCGGTGCGGGATTCCCCCCCCCCCCTTTTGGGGATCACACAAAGCGTGCATGCATCGAAAGTGTTGCGAGTCCGACACGAATATGTACATGACTGTACACTTGCAACATCGATGTACGTGTAAAGTACAAGCGCGATCTGAGAAACATCGACGCGATCACCGTTGCCGTCTTTTGAGCTGACTACGCTTCTTACATGCAGCATGCAGGACGGGATGGCTCGGTATGTGTCTACACTAGCTGCAGGGGCTGGAGTTCCCTCCACGCGCGAGTAGTCTTGAGCTAAAGACAGTGAAGTGGTCTTCAGTTTCATGTTTTCCGTTCTGTCAACGGTTCCCGAACCAGTTTGCTCGACGACGAGCTAGGCCTGGCGTCTGGGCCTATTTTGAGCATAGACAGGAAAAGCAACTAGTTGCTTGTTGGTGCGCCTCAAGTCAGCTCATCCGTCGAAATCCGCCGATCTGCACCCCTGGCCGGCTTCTCTGACTTCATGGTCGGAGTCAGCGAAATCACAGGCAAAAGGCACCATCAGCTCTTGGGTTGCAACCAGTGAGTTGCCTCTGTCTTGTCTGTATTCGTCTGGTCAGTCCGAACAGCTGACGGACTTGTTGCGGGATCATCGGATCTATGCGCCCGCTTTCCGTCGTTGGCGATGTTGGACTCGTAATTTTTTTGAAATTCACAGAATGTACATGTACTGATGTAGTTACAGGGTACCTCACTTCAAACTCTCCAACTACGGTCTCTTCGCTGCATAGGTACTAGGTTCACTTCACTTCCAAAATAAATAAATATTAGATATAAATGGAATGCACCAAATTTTCGGGCATGGCCCATCTTCAGGGTGAAAAACCATTCAACGGTTCCCTTTTTGAATGGTTTTCACCCTGAAGATGGGCCATGCCCGAAAATTTGGTGCATTCCATTTATATCTAGTATTATTATTTTTGGAAGTGAAGTGAACTTATGCAGCGAAGAGACCGTAGTTGGAGAGTTTGAAGTGAGGTACCCTGTAATGTGTGAGTGGCTACAATGGAGTCTGCGAGTGCTTAGAAAAGTTTATACTGATGTAGTTACTATAATAATCGTTTAGCCGATAAGCCGATCGTTATGGTATCAGCTAAGCCACTAAGGAAAAAAACGTAATCGTTTCAGCACTAGTACAAATCCAGACAATCATGATGCAGGCATAATCCTCATTGCATAATAGAGAACAACTCCCAATCACATTCCTATACTTATGATGGGCGCAGGTTAATACACTACATGTACTTTGCTCTCAGGAACCAACCCATAACAAATCTCTCAGCTGTATGCTGGTATCCGATTTAATTTAAAATTCACAGTGGAAAGAGAGGAAGGCGTAATTAAAGATTTTCCCTTGTTTCCATTATCACCACGCATGCAGTACGGAATTTTGACATATGCACATGTATGCGTGTGTCTGTCTTTTGTTGTTGTCAGGCCAAACTGGAGGAGCTGAACATTCCAGCTCGATATTTCCAACTGGATAGCTGGTAAGTAATGCCAAGTATAGGAAATTGATTTTCCTTTTGAAAAGGCTTGTTTGCCAGTCCCTTATGGCAAATGGATGTCTGTGTCATCTGTATCCGTATGTGCCTGTGTGCACATGTGTGTGTGTGTGTGTGTGCGTGTGTGCGTGCGTGCGTGCGTGCGTGCGTGGGTGCGTGTGTGTGTGCATCCAAGCCAACGTTATTCATTTTCCCCTGATGAAGACCTAGAGGGGAGAAGGGTTTGGAGAGTTACCGGCTTCATATCGGGATCTGGCAGCACCTACTGAAGTATGACCAACTGGTGGCCAAGTGTACTGATAGGTCAGGACTTCTAAAAAATACTCTGCTTTTCTTGCGCTATGGTGTTGTGTACTTTGCAGGTGGTATTTTCAAGAGGCTTCCCATGGAGCCTTGACCCTGTGGGAACCTCGTCCTGATGTATTCCCAAGTGGCATGTCCGACTGGCTGGGCTTGCCTTTATCTCTGCATAACCGATGGTGAGTAAGGAGTGTAGTGGGACAGGTTGGTGTGTGTGTGGGGGGGGGGGGGGGGGGCAGGGAAGGGAGTGGGGCAGGGCTGAGGAGAATTGCAACTTTGCCATAGTTCCATGGTTATCATGCTGTATTATTGCTTGTCTGGACTTCTAATCACCGATGTATAAAGCAACCACAGCCGCAACCAACTTTGTTTATCCTGCAGGCAATGCTATCCACCTGCTGCAAACCATCTGGTAATTTCTTCAAGGGTCCGGCCATTGCAATGTTAGGATATTAATTTTTACCGCCATTTGCCTAGTGAATCTGGCCTATATTCTCTGCATTTTGCTAAAGGTTTGCTGCAAAGAACAACTACAGCGCTGATTGGTTTCTGGTGAAGGAAGGGCAGGACTGCGCGCTGCCGTCCAGCAAAGAGTTGTTTGACACCATTATGTCGAAGGTAAGTAGTGGGTGGGTCATCTAGTGTGAGGTGTTGGCCTGTGGGATTCAGTGTACGAGTATAGTGACATAGCAGCAGGTGCAGAGACTTGGGTGCAGTTGAAGTGTGTGTGTGTGTGGGGGGGGGGGGGGAGTAAAAAACATCAGCTGCAGGGGCATAGTCTGGGGTGCACCTGAAGTGTGTGTATGTGTGTGTGTGTGTGTGTGTGTGTGTGTGTGTTGGGGGGGGGGGGGGGGGGGCAGGAACATAACATCAGCATCATCAGTTAGTCCAGGGTGCATTTGAAGTGTTGCCAAGCTAGCTAGGCTCAACATGACTAGTAGCAGTCCATGGTAGTACAAGAAAGGGACTGTTGCACAATAACATTGGTTGAGCCGGTTACCTGCTTCCCGGGTGTGGCATGAACCAGTTGACCCCATCATGCTCCTGCAGCCACAGTCGGGCTCGTAGCACAGTCCTGCTGTACGTTGTTTGCTTCTTTCAGGAATTCTGCATGCCCAATTCGGTCACTACGGCAGGGTGCATCTCCAGCTCCATGCATCGTATCTGTTTGTTTTAGCTACACATTCCTCTAGCACTGCACAGTTATCCAGACAGCACAGTGGTCCTCACAGGACAAGTAGAACAGTGTAGGAGGGAGAGACTCTGGAGAGGAATGCCCGAGGATAGCTTATTAGCGTTGTACTCCCATGTACAAGTAGTCAATTGCACACTGTATTAAAATATTCCACAAACATTGGGATTGGTAAGAAAACAGGTACCATTGGCGCCGGCCCTGATCCCATGTAAGTAATGTACTAGTAGCCGAATTGCAGCATATGCAGGATCGTATCCATGATGTACAAATACCAGCCAGAGAAAAGGAATTGTGTAAGAAGAACTTTGCTCCCCACCGTTTGCCTTATCTGCCGTATTGTCAATCTTGGGGGGGGGGGGGCATGGAGATCCCCTATACCCCGTAGGCAAATAGCCACAGATGTCCGTCTTATCACAGGACATGAATTTCCAACGGTTTGTGCGGGTGAGTGAATGGCGACACAGACATCTGTTTTTGATGGTATTGTGCGACTTGTCTCCTCTTGCATGTTTGTCTATGCAGACAGCCAAGTGGGGTCCGGGAATGTTTCAGTACGAGCAGGACTGGTTGGTGACCACGTTTGAACGCTGCGCAGTAAGTGAATAACTTTGCACCTCTGACCTCACACTAGCTGGTTGTTTTTCTTTGAGTGTGGTCACCGTACATCCATCAGTACCAAGTCTCTGTATGGTGTGATTCTGCCATCCAGTACCTTTGGCCTCAGATATCATAGAGTACCTCGGTATATAGTACTGATTTGGATTATTCTGGAGGCGTGTGTCACACTGAAGTTTCATGGAATGTATGCATCTCCAGTGCTGCCAAATAATTTTCGCCCAAAATCGGACACCCTTCATCGCCAAGGCTGGCCACATGGTGCGAATTTTTCTCCTCGGCAATTTTTTTACAGAGAATTCAAAATATCACCTAAAACACCATGAAATTCGCTTCGTTGCCATGGTAACCCCAGAGTTGTCATGAATTTTGTAATGATGAGTGTGGTCGCACACTGACTCTGTACAGACTGTCAGTGTACATGCCATCCAGCCTGATCCAGGCATGTTACTTTGCACTTCCACAGCCAAGCGCTTGCCTTTTTAGAAGCAAATGTACAGTGATTTTGTGCCTTCAGTTGCGCTGAAAAGTGAAAGTACAGGACTTCTGCATAGGAAAGTAATGATCTCCGACATTTTAGCTGCTTTTCGGACGTTTTCCTTTTCGGACCGGTTTTCGGAAGAGCCTTCAAAAATCGGACACTGTTCGAAAAATCGGACGGTTTGGCAGCACTGCATCTCTTACCCACCTGGACTAGAACCGTCCAGGTTAAAGATGCGACCGATTGCGAGCAGATTAACTATTCGCGCCCTCAGAGTATTCCTGATGTAGACGTAGTACTCATGGCGGTGGTTTCAATTGTGCCATTCTCTAACCCTGCAGTACTCTCAGACGGATATCTATGCATCACGTAATTATCTTGCGTACATGGCCCAAGGCGCAGCGGATGTCAACGCAACTGTTCAGTGAGAAACTGCCGGAAGCTATCATTTGTCATAACATGTATTTGCATTTTTTGTTTTGTATGATGCCCAATGTGACAATGTGACTGTATCTGTTAAGTTCCTGGCGAAGTGAATTGGGGATATGATTGGGGATATTGATTAGTGCAAAGGGATGTCTGATGATCCTGAAGATTGTAAGCTTCGAGCCCGACTAGCATTGAGTGTGCTCTTTTTGTTATGTTCTGCTGACCCCGCTGACCCTGATGACCCTGCCGACCTTGATGACCCTGCTGAACCTGCCGACCTTGATGACCCTGCTGAACCTGCCGACCCTTATGACCCTGATGACCCTGATCACCCTCCTGACCCTGCTGACCCTGCCGGCCCTGCTGACCCTGCCGGCCCTGATGACCCTGCCGACTCTGATGACCCTGATGACCCTGATGACCCCGATGACCCTGATGACCCTGATAACCCTGCTGACCCTACTGACTCTGCTGGCCTTGATGACCCTGCCGACCCTGATGACCCTGCCGGCCCTGATAACCCTGCGGACCCTGATGACCCTGCCGACCCTGATGACCATGCCATGCCTACCCTGATGACCCTGATGACCATGCTGACCCTGCCGACCCTACTGACCCCGACGGCTCTGCTGACCCTGCTGACCCAGCCGACCTTGCTGACCCTGCTGACCCTGCCGACCCTGATGGCCCTGCCGACTCTGATGGCCCTGCTGACCCTCATGACCCTGTCGACCCCGATGACCCTGCCGACCCTGATGACCATGCCATGCCTACCCTGATGACCCTGCCTACCCTACTGACCCCGACGGCTCTGCTGACCCTGCAGACCTTGCTGACCCTGATGACCCTGCCGACTCTGATGGCCCTGCTGACCCTCATGACCCTGCCGACCCTGATGACCCTGATGACCCTGATGATCCCGATGACCCTGATGACCCCGATGACCCTGCCGACCCTGCTGACCCTGGTGACCCTGCCGACCGTGATGACCCTGCCGATCCTGATGACCCTGATGTCCATGCTAAGTGCCGGCCCTGATGACCCTGCTGACCTTGATCACCTTGATGACCCTGCCGACCCTGATGACCGGCTGACCCTGCTGACCTTGATGACCCTGCCGACCCTCCTGACCCTGATGACCCTGCCGACTCTGATGGCCCTGCCGACCCTCATGACCCTGCCGACCCTGATGACCCTGTCGACCCCGATGACGCTGCCGACCCTGATGACCATGCCATGCCTGCCCTGATGACCCTGCCGACCCTACTGACCCCGACGGCGCTGCTGACCCTGCAGACCTTGCTGACCCTGCCGACCCTGATGACCCTGATGACCCTGCCGACTCTGATGGCCCTGCTGACCCTCATGACCCTGCCGACCCTGATGACCCTGATGATCCTGATGACCCTGATGATCCCGATGACCCTGATGACCCCGATGACCCTGCCGACCCTGCTGACCCTGGTGACCCTGCCGACCGTGATGACCCTGCCGATCCTGATGACCCTGATGTCCATGCCAAGTGCCGGCCCTGATGACCCTGCTGACCTTGATCACCTTGATGACCCTGCCGACCCTGATGACCCTGCTGAGTGCCGGCCCTGATGACCGACTGACCCTGCTGACCTTGATGACCCTGCCGACCCTCCTGACCCTGCTGACCCTGATAAAACTGCCGACCCTGATGACCCTGATGAAACTGCCGACCCTGATGACCCTGCCGACCCTGATGACCCTGCCGACCCTGATGACCCTGCCGACCCTGCTAACCCTGCCGACACCGCTGACCCTGATGACCCAGCCGACCCTGATGACCCTGCCGACCCTGATGACCCTGCCGACCCTGATGACCTGCCGGCCCTGTTGACCCTGCCGGTCCTGATGGCCCTGCAGAGTGCCGGCCCTGCTGACCCTGCTGAACTTGATGACCCTGCCGACCCTGATGACCCTGCCGACCCTGATGACCCTGCCGACCCTGCTGAACCTGATGAAACTGCCGACCCTGATGACCCTGATGACCTTGCTGACCCTGCTGACCCTGCCGACCCTGATGACCCTGCCGACCCTGTTGACCCTGCCGACCCTGATGAACCGGCTGAATCTGATGACCCTGCTGACCCCGATGACCCTGCCGACCCTGATGACCCTGCTGACCCTGATGACCCTGCCGACCCCGCTGACCCTGCTGACCCTGATGACCCTGCCGATCCTGATGACCCTGCCGACCCTAATGACCTGCCGACCCTGTTGACCCTGCCGACCCTGATGACCCTGCTGAGTGCCGGCCCTGCTGACCTTGACCTTGATGACCCTGCCGACCCTGGTGATCCTGCTGACCTTGCTGACCCTGCCGACCCTGAGGACCCTGCCGACCCTGAGGACCCTGCTTACCTTGATGACCCTGCTGACCCTGCTGTCCCTGATGACGCATGTGATAATGCCATGAGTAGTGTCAGCAATCTCTATGAATGCTCTACGTACCTCCATACCAGCTTCTTTGATAAACAGGTAATCCTCTTGGTATATCCAAGTGTGTAAAGCAAGAAAGTGTGGGGACCAAGTGGGCAGGAGAAGTATAGAATTGTTGTTACACCACTTGCTGCTAGACCTGGTTGGATGGCAAATGCCGGATAATGTGTTATGTTTATGTGCATGAATGCCTGTGTGTTCATGCGTGCATCCGTGTGTGTGTGTGTGTGTGTGTGTGTGTGTGTGTGTGTATGTGTATCCCTATCTGTGTGTGCGTGTGTGCGTGTGTGCGTGTGAGTGTATTTGTGTGTGTGTGTGTGTGTGCATGCGTGTGTATGTGTGTTCATGTTTATATTTGTGTGTACTATTTGTGTATGTGTTCTCACGACATAGATACTGTATGGCATTGCCCAATCACATCCTCCAGTCCACTGCACTACAGCCTGTTACTCTGGTGAGTGGAGCGGCAGTGTTGGGTTATGAAACGTGGAGAAGAAGATGTAGACAGAAAAATAGAGGGGGGGGGGATGCGTGTATGCATACATGCAGGTTTCATAATGGAAGTATACTGGGTGGTGGTGGTGGTGGAGGGGGACTGGAGATACTGAACTTCCACATTGTTCATGTTTGTCTGGTATTCTTCTTTCGCTGATTATGTTTTGCAATTTTTTCAGGCTCGTGCTTCTGGTGATTACTCGGCAAGCAGTGAGCAATGGGCTATTGGTAAGTCTTTAGCACTGTGTGACCCTATCAGTGCCGTCGGTATCAGTGCCGCCGGTATCAGTGCCGCCGGTATCAGTGCCGGTATCAGTGCCGCTATCAGTGCCGCTATCAGTGCCGGTATCATCTATCATTGGAATTAGGTATCATAGGCATCATTGTTGTCTCCTTGCCATCTTTGGAATTCGGCATCATAGGCATTAGTGGAAGTGAAGCAAGACCACTTGGTACACCTCCATCAGCGTTTTTAGAGGTTGGCAATTAGAAACAAAGCTGAGACCGGTCAAGGAGAGCCTTGCCAATTCTTGGCTTTTTTGATTTTGCTTTCTTGCATTGCATGCATTGCATTGATACTGCAGACCAGGACTTGGGTATCCACACATATGCGGCAAATCAACCATGTTTTAAATCGACTTCTTATCCCACACGGTGTTTAAGTGACTGCCCAGTTTAGTTGGACAGAAGTCACCCATGGTGACAGTGATCCCTCCCCATGTGTTAGATATTGCATGCGTCTTCACTCTGTACATTGACTCTTGATTTGACGGCTGCATGCATCTCTTGTATTTATGGCTACTGTGTGTTACCGTCGGACAACATTACGATTTATTGTTACATGTACGTTCTATGTCAAGTCAACCCTGTTATGTTCCCATTCGTTTCAGTCTAGTTCTATACTTACTGCCATGACTTGTCCCGTTTATGGTTATACAGTCTTCTTCTTTTCCCGTCGTATTGCTTTCGTTTACCGGAGACTTCTACGGTATGTCTCTATTCGCCTCCACGATGTCCTTATCCTGACACTAGCATTTTCTGCGTCGCGTACGGCTGGTGGGAATATCTACCCCAGCCGTCGTGATGTAGGGCTTCCTCATCATTACTACTTGGAGGACAGTCACGAGTTTGAGTATCTCTGATACTAATGATAATGATTCTTACTGAAGTATGAGGAGAATTGTTTCCGAGTGGAAAGACACTGAGTGTCTATGTGTAATAACTAAATGAGCTCAACGAAGAGCCAAAACGTCCTTTAGGATTCTACTACTACTAGTACGGGCAGAACCAGAGTAGGATCTCTAAAATTGGTCCTTCGAGCCGGATTCAATGGATGCGAGGTCGAGAAAGGCTGACCAGAGTGTCGCCTTCGCCAGAGCAAGAATCGCGGTTCTGAACGATATCGAAAATGGATCACCTGTAAGTGCTGTCAACCTGTCACTCGTGGAGCTGGACCTAAAAGTACATTGCTTGCTTAGTACATTGCGGGAGGATCCAGAGTTGTTCGAGGAGTATGTAGCAACACAAGAAATGTATGCAAACACAGTGGCTATGGTTAGTGAGTACATGTACGGAATTTGTTCAAACTACAACAGTTCACATGCGAGCTCTATAAGTGGTGTACAGTACACCCGGAATGCCGGTAAGGTGAAAGCATACTTAGCGAGTCTAGATAAAGACACGGATCACGCACCAGGAGCTGCAGGCCTTGTCCTGAGCGGCCATATGCAGCAAACAGACAGCACGAGTCGTGCACAGGCAGACGCACAGGTTCCCGAAACGGGCGAGAGTGCGCCGTTATGCGAACCCGCTGGTGATCAGACGGCTTTACAAGGCTATGGTCATCATCAAAAGGCAGATACGAAGGATCGGCAAGAGTATCCAAACGACGTAGAAGGTGCAACTGCAAATAGTGATACAACGTGGGCGAACGCTTTCGTGCCAGACATTGCTACGCCAGTGATTGTTCCAGAAAGCACCGAGTATATGATTGAGAATGCACAGCAGTTCAACACTGGGACAGCACCATTGGCCCACACCAACAACTCCATGGACACATTGTGGCAACCTGGCAAACAGACCCCAGAGACTGCATCGCAACCTGTGTCTAGGATGCAATCACAGCGCACACGCATGCAGTACACACACACACAGCCTTTGTATGTGTCGCAGTCTTTGTCGCAGCCCTTGCCTTCATGTATGTCACAACCATTGTCTGCGTATCAGTACTTGTCGCTGCCTGTGTCGCAGCAGTCGCTGCCCGTGTCGCTGCAGTCGTTGCCGCCGTTGTCTGCGTCTCAGTCTTTGCCGTTGCCTGTGTCGCAGCAGTCGCTGCCCGTGTCGCAGCAGTCGCTGCCCGTGTCGCAGCAGTCGTTGCCGCCGTTGTATGCAGATCAGTCTCTGCCGTTGCCTGTGTCGCAGCAGTCGCTGCCCGTGTCGCAGCAGTCGCTGCCCGTGTCGCAGCAGTCGCTGCCCGTGTTCCAGCAGTCGCTGCCTGTATCGCAGCAGTCGCTGCCCGTGTCGCAGCAGTCGTTGCCGCCATTGTCGGCAGATCAGTCTTTGCCGTTGCCTGTGTCGCAGCAGTCGCTGCCCGTGTCGCTGCAGTCGTTGCCGCCGTTGTCTGCGTCTCAGTCTTTGCCGTTGCCTGTGTCGCAGCAGTCGCTGCCCGTGTCGCAGCAGTCGCTGCCCGTGTCGCAGCAGTCGTTGCCGCCGTTGTATGCAGATCAGTCTCTGCCGTTGCCTGTGTCGCAGCAGTCGCTGCCCGTGTCGCAGCAGTCGCTGCCCGTGTTGCAGCAGTCACTGCCTGTATCGCAGCAGTCGCTGCCCGTGTCGCAGCAGTCGTTGCTGCCATTGTCGGCAGATCAGTCTTTGCCGTTGCCTGTGTCGCAGCACTCGTTGCCGCCGTTGTACGCGTCCCAGTCGGTCTATGTGCCGAAGTCATCGCAGCCTTTGTCTACGTTGCAGCCGTCGTCTATGCCGCAGCCGTTATCACGCATGCTACCGCCGCAGCGGTTTTCCACGCCGCTACCGAGGCCCAGGCCACAGCCGTTGTCTGGGCTACAACAACAGCAGCAGCAGCGGCAACAACTACAACAACAACAACAGCAGCAGCAGCAGCAGCGTCAACAGCAACAATACCAGCAGCAGCAACCCGCGCAGACCAGTTGGTCTGGAATGACAGCCAGCTCAACATCGTCAACAGCAGCACCAACAGACGTGTACCGACACCTGAAGAAAGTGAAGATACCTACGTTTAGTGGTGATAAAACAGCATACAGAACATGGAAAGCAGCATTCTCGGTTTGCGTTGAGCAGCAAGATTTATCGCCAGAGCTGAAATTATTGCAACTACGTCAGTGTTTGACGGGCTCAGCATTGAAAGCGATAGAATCTTATGGATACTCAGCAGCAGCGTACACCGCAGCAATCAGGCGTCTAGAACAGAAGTTTGGTGGCGATAGAAGACAGACAGCAGTGCATACAGAGGCGCTGGCGCGGCTACCAGTGATACGAATGGAACGAGCTGCCCAGGATCTGGAGAAGTTCGCTGATCTTCTCCAAGTAGCTGTCATTCACCTAGAAGACGCTGGACGCAGCCAGGAACTTCAGGCTGGTGCATTCTATCAGCAGCTCCTGAAGAAACTGCCACAGTCTCTCTTGACGCAGTACTACCGCCAGATGACAGAAAGAGGTGAAGCGGAGACGGTATGCACTCTGCTGGCCTGGGCATTAAGAGAAGCGGACTACAGAACAACAGCACAGGAGACGCTCACTGGCATCACCACACAGCCTGAGGGGACCGGTACACGCAACAAACAGACCTACAGAGAACAGCCAACGGCAGCAGCATTAGCAGCCTTTACGTCCCCGGCAAGTGCCAGTTGCGTGTTCTGTGGACAGAGTCATGAGACGGCCAGGTGCTCTGTCGTTACAAACACAGAGAAGCGGAAGGACATAGTTAAGAGCAACGGAAGGTGCTTTCTGTGTCTGAAACCGAACCACATAATCCGTCACTGTCAGTCGAAGTTGAAATGCGCCAAGTGCCAACGTCGACACCACACTACCCTGTGTAACTCAACATCTGACAGGCCATCACCTGTAACACCACCCACGCCGCGCTATGAAAAGAAGCCGGCCGCTAACAACCAGTCTAGGGCAGCATCGGCTCCAAGCAAGAAGGAACCTACCAATCCATCCGCCAGCAGCGTTACCCTGTCGTCTGTCAGCGCTCTGACATCATCGAGCAAGGACAACAATATGGTTTTGCTGCAGACCGCTAAAGCTATAGTTGCACCAGGCTTACCAGTGCGAGACAACGGGATCTCTGTGAGGGTGTTGTTCGACGGAGGGAGCCAGCGCTCGTTCGTGACACGTGATGTGCAAAGGCGGCTGGACCTAAAGACAGGCAGGCAGGAATGCTTGAAAGTGAATGCCTTTGGTGAAGGCTCTGGTGGGGACAGCGGTTTGAGAGACGTGGTGAATCTGACCGTGCAGAGTACGGAGGGAGACCCCCTGCCGCTGGAGTGTGTCGTGATTGATGCAATTTGTGCACCAGTCCAGAACCAGCACCCTGCACAAGCAGTCCAGTGCTGCGGTGCGCTCCAAGGCCTCACACTGGCAGACGACAGCGACGGCACAGCCACAATCGATCTATTGATTGGAGCCGATCAGTACTGGCAATTTATGATGGGCAAGACGATCACGACGGCCGCTGGTCCGACAGCCATCCATACGCGTCTTGGCTGGGTCTTGTCTGGTCCTGCATCAGGCACAACTAGTACGACAGGTACATGCCTCGCTACTGAGGTGCACAGCTTAACGACGACAGCGCAGGTCCTTGATAAGCAGCTCCAACAATCCTGGGAGCTGGAGTCTCTTGGAATACATCCAATAACGGAGAATCAAGTCCACGCAACGCTACCTGACAACTTCCGAATCAGCAATATCGAGGAAGTCAAGAACCCGGAATTTGGTGATGTGAGAGATATACACTATGCGCCACATCAAGCCGTTGGTGGAGAAGATAGGACCACGACAAGAGTGCGTGTTGTGTACGATGCGTCATTCCGCTCAGGCAAGGCTCGTCGATCAACGTCTGCCTCAACGCGGGACCCCACCTGCTGGAGAAGCCCCATCTGCTTGAGAAGCCCCCCTGGTGGGGCGGGTTCTTTGAGAGAATGGTGAGATGCGTCAAGCGTTGTCTCAAGAAGATCCTACACCTTTGATTGCAATATCATAAGTATTCGTTGTTGAGCTACAATACATGCATTCGATCAGCCTTATGTACCTCAACGGAGGGAGTGTTAGATATTGCATGCGTCTTCACTCTGTACATTGACTCTTGATTTGACGGCTGCATGCATCTCTTGTATTTATGGCTACTGTGTGTTACCGTCGGACAACATTACGATTTATTGTTACATGTACGTTCTATGTCAAGTCAACCCTGTTATGTTCCCATTCGTTTCAGTCTAGTTCTATACTTACTGCCATGACTTGTCCCGTTTATGGTTATACAGTCTTCTTCTTTTCCCGTCGTATTGCTTTCGTTTACCGGAGACTTCTACGGTATGTCTCTATTCGCCTCCACGATGTCCTTATCCTGACACTAGCATTTTCTGCGTCGCGTACGGCTGGTGGGAATATCTACCCCAGCCGTCGTGATGTAGGGCTTCCTCATCATTACTACTTGGAGGACAGTCACGAGTTTGAGTATCTCTGATACTAATGATAATGATTCTTACTGAAGTATGAGGAGAATTGTTTCCGAGTGGAAAGACACTGAGTGTCTATGTGTAATAACTAAATGAGCTCAACGAAGAGCCAAAACGTCCTTTAGGATTCTACTACTACTAGTACGGGCAGAACCAGAGTAGGATCTCTAAAATCCATGCCTTGCACAGTGTGGTTGTTTGAATGATAACTGCACGACTTCAACACAATACTACACGCCATAGCTCAGTGGTAGAGCATCGTTGGCCATAAGCGAGGGCCCCTGGTCCGAGTCTTGGTGGTGGCAGTCAACCTTTTTCTTCAAACATTTCCCGTTTCGTACTCCATCAAACTTTTGAACACAAGTTCGATGACGTGATTCTCTTCACAAGCGCAGACCCCCCCCCCCCCCCGGCTGAGGCATATGGGCACACCTACTTTCTAGTATGCATGCTGGTGTGGATTGGATGTTGTCAGCCGGTTCTGGAAATGTAGTGGAAACTATAATGAACAGTGCTTAGTGCCGAGTTTGATGCATGCAGCGCAGTCCGGTCACCACACCAGCAAGTGGCTGGTAGGGGTACTGCACAGTCAAAATGGGCAAAAAAAGGTGACTATGAGGTTGCCAGTGGCATATGTTCACCACACAACAGATGTGATCTGGTACATAGTCACCACAACACAGATGTGTGAGCTATGCCCCTGTGTAGATAAAACATCTTCATAATTAACTTTGTGGTTTTCCGCAGTCTCAGAAGCCTATAATGAATTCTTCCGTGAGCAGATGTTCCAAGGAGCAGTATTCTAGAAGTACCAATATCTCGCAAGCGGACAATTTGTTTCGTGTAAATTCTACTTTCAATGTCACTTGTTATGATATTGCTGTTACACAGGCAAGACAAGTCTCCTCTACTACTCAATTGGACTGATCCCGTTTAAGGACTGCTTCCAGACAGTCACCACCAATGAGACTGGCTGTCAACACAAAGGCAAGCAAGAACATGCCATGGTCCCTTTCCATCTCCGAGATATTCATCTGATGATTACGTTTCCGTAATTCATGCCCAGCTTGGTCTTGTATAAAACTTATTTAAAGCCTGTGTGATATAGAAGCATGTCTTGAACAAGAAGCCAGATTTTTAAGATGTACAATCAGCACAGAAGCCTAGGTGTATTAGTGTCAGTGACTCAACGTACATGAATTGAATAGAAGCCTAGCACTGCCTTTGACTTTGATAGGAAAAAAGCCCGACCTCTGTATGTATGCGCCATTACGACATTGGACTGCTCTAGCTATGCAGATTTGTTGTTGCAGCAATAACAGAACATGGATGATAGATGACGTGTGGATGCGTGTGGTTACTTTCTCTTCTTGTAGGTCGCTGTCTGGAGACGAATCCCACGTTGCAAGCGCTGGTATCGACAATGAGTACTGGAGCCATTGCCCCCGGTGATGGCATTCGTAAGTTACATCCTGCTAAGATCACCCTGTAGAAACTAAATCCTAACCTTCCGGTAACACGCCATGCCATGGTGTTCTCCCCGCCAGGCATCGCCAGGCATCTAGGCATAGTAAAACGCTCTTACCCCGGGGGCCCGTCAGCCACGCCACTTTAAAGCAGCCGGAAGAGGGGGGGGGGGGGGGTTAATGCACCAAGTCATCATGTAAGCATCTGTTTCCGGAGTCCTGATTTCCTCACATGAGCATTCGCACATGTAGATGTACATATATCTGCCTCAAGACTGCTTTGGCCACCATGGACTCCATACTCCCCCCCCCCCCCCCCCCCCCCCCCTGTTCCAAAACTACGACCTTATTCAGGGGTGTCGCACACGGTACGGTCACTACGGTATCGACTGTACCACTATTAGACCCAAGTACCCCGTCAATCAATAAAATGCACTGATTTGGGCTCTAATTTTGCAAAATTTTCCGCTCAGCCACCCCTCCCCCACGAGTAAATCTTCAGATGGCTGACCGTACCACACTAAATTACCTTCCGACGCCCCTGCTATTTCAGAAACTCACCCAGTTTCATCTGGTGTGTGGCATCTTCCTCCTTGCTTGACCTAGAAGTCCTGACGTTATCTGTGTAGGCATCGCAGTGCTGTGGAGGGCATCCGCAGCATTCCCGGCTCCTTTCAGTTCGGGTTGTATGTATGTATGTATATTTTTATTTGAATTCGCAAGTACACACGGGCTACAAGCCCAATTACATGGAAGCGAATGCCATAATGAGGCCAATTAAGAAAAAAAGGTGGAGGAAGGAGGACGGTAGCATTAGTGTTGTTGTTTGAAATCAGAGTAGTATGCAACCGCGTGGTAGCGCTTGTTTATCGAGACCAGATTGGGTCAGGCCAGGTTGAGTCAGGCCAGGTTGGGTCAGGCCCGGTCGGGTCAGGCCAGGTCGGATCAGGTCAGGCCAGGTTGGCTGACTCGACCTGGCCTGACCTAACCTAACCAGACCAGGTCAGGTTGGGTCAG